ATACGTTCAGTTTGACGACGATAACGTTCTGTTTCTTGATGCAGTAGAGTAGAGTCAATCTTAAATACTGTACAAATATTCGAGATATTTTTTGGATTATTTATATATTTTGTTATGGCGGATAGCATTCTTGATGTGCGGCGAAGCTGGTAAATTCTCGCAGATAAGACTCCTATTCCTTTTTATATAGATACGCACGCCATTCATCATACGTGTTGGGATAGTCTCGTTCTCTCTTTCTGTTTATAACATGTTGCACGCTACTTCGGAACCACGCTCGCATTGGTTCTGTCTCGTCTACCACTGCTCCAGCCATCACTTCTGTTATGATGATTTAATAGAAAAACAATCAAAAGATAGATTATTAGAAATTTTAAATATGTGAATTATGTCACATTGTACATAAGGAAGACAATATAGTAAGATGAAAACGCAACTTCGTTTGTGTGATATTGATTTTATAATATATGATTTTTAATAAAAACAAACAGACGTATATTAAATGCAATTGAAAGAATCTTGAAAATATAATTTTAATTCAATAATAGTATTAATGAAAGGAATATATACGTATTTATTTTATTGATATTGCTATTTAATAAGGATACTATCAGTTGGTGTTACATACAACACACTGACACAATTACTTTTGTTTCGCGTATTTGTGATCATGCATGAGAAAGTATGTCATATTATTTAATTAAATTAAGTTGAAAATATTTTGTCAATAATCGTTAAACCTTTGTTAATAATCATTAAATTTATTCAAAATATTTCACATTCGTATCTCAATATTTTTATAATATATTGTTTAAAAGGTTGCTAAAATATCCTTATCCCATAATATATAACAAATAGAAATAAAGATACTAACCAAAATATGAAAAATCGTCTTCCGATAAGAATTAAATAAAATAAACTGAATTCAATTAGCTTCTAGGCACTCTCTGACGGATAAGGCAACTAAACGACTGGCAACTGAAGCTCGCATTGAAGATCGGTAGATCGGTATGTAACGTTCTCGTTAATAATAAACAAACATTTAAAGCAAACATTTAAAGCTTGAAAAATATCCGAGAAAGAACAAATATGTTTATTTTAAAATAAACATATTTTTCTATTTATTATGTTTTCTATTTCAAATTTTTCTTATCGCACCTGTTGTTGAACTATAAAACCAATAATGTATTATAATAAGAGAACATATATGAACAGTTTCTCTATATAAAACAAAAAAAATGAAGAAATAAGATGATTAATAGGGTGAACAAAACAAGCATCATTGATGCAAATAAAATTTTTATGAACACAAATTTAAATAATGATTTGACAAATACATTTAAATATTTGAACGTTTCGGCTACACTAAGACTTTTTCAGCAGATTAAAAGTTCTTTTAAAATAAAAATTATAATAAAATATATAATTATCATGTTAACAAACATGTGAAAAAATTAAATTAATATATTATAATATATAATATAATTAATATGTATATACGAGAAGCTATCAATATAATAAAATAATTTATTAATGTATTATTATTTATTATTAATATAATGTTAACTATTAATTCTCTGAACAGTTTATTCCAGATATATTAAAAAAAATTCTTGAGTAGTAGAGACAGTATGTAGACTATTTTTATTCCACCAAAATTAAATACGTGCAATTATTGTGTATAATTATATTGTGTAAAATCTAAAAATTTTTTTGTTCTGATCTCGTAACAATCATATATATATGATGTAGATGTATTACTGCTAAATCAATCATCTGACTGCCAATCTGTTAATTATATGAGAATTGAATAGTAATGAGATATAAATTTCATAAAAAGAAATAAAAGGATATTAACATTTTTTATTTAAGTATATATATTTCATTACATTTATATTAATTTAGATGAAAAATGTTTAATTGCAACTAATTATATTCAAACAAAAATAAGAATAGACGAACATTTTGAAAGCGATTCTATTATGAAGAATTTGTCTAAAATCATTACATTTCATTTTTAAATATGATGGATTAAAAATGTGTCGATATTATCAAGAATTAAAAAAATTATTAAATAAGTTTAATATAAAAGAACTTATACTATATACATAACTATATACATAACTATTTACATAAGAGTTTTGTTTTTAACATTGATTATTATAATATCAATTATGAAATAATGTAATTTTAAAATTTATTATTTTATTTTAACAAAAAAATAAATAAATCGTTACTTTCTAAATAACAGTAATAATAACACGTTACTTTTTGTAAGAAATAACGGTTCTCAATTCTGGACATAATTAAGCATACATACCATACATACCATATTTATATACCATAAAATCATGTCGCATCAGTCCCATCATTTTACATTAATCGCGGTGGTACGTAGTGTAGCAATGTATTCGCAATATCTCTGTCCCACAGTTTCTCCACTTGTGCACGCATTTGCACCGCCAACCTGTTCGAACGCTTCAGATACATCGCCGAATGATGTACCGCAATCGCATAAGGAACAGGACACCTTGTTTGCTTGACTATTCTGCGGACTAGTGTCGTGATATAGTTTTCTATGAGCGATGTGTCCTCCTCCTCCGGATAGAGATATTCTTTCATCGGAAGCACCAACTTCTCTATCGGAAGCTTCAAGTATCGCAAAGTGCCCGCGTGTTCCGACCACAGCAATTTCCGATAATGCGGATCATGTCTTTGTGCCACCGGTACTAGCAACATCATGGCGACCATCGTCGCCGTACGAGCTCGAGCAGAAATGTTCGCACAGCGCCGTGAACAGATCGGTAAAAGAACTCAGCTCTGGCAACTCCATTCGGAAATTCAATCGCCCGTAGTATGTCTTCAGTAGATTCGAGAAAATATTCAGTAGCAGCACGGACACATCGTTGTCCAAATAGGCGATATCGCAAAGGTACACCAATATTAATCTACT